GCTTGGGTGCTGATTGAGTGATGGTGAGTTTCACGACTTGATTGATGTAGAGGTTTCGAGGGACATTATATAGGATCTGCCTGTCATTTTGGCATGATTAAGGATGATTTGATACTGATGATGGATGAGCATATACAGACCCTTCGGACTGAGCTAAAAGTTGGTTAGTTTGGGGTAGGCAATCTCACTTTTTGTGATTTTCGTGCTTATGGAGATCATGAGATTTTTGGGAAGAATGAGCCCATTGTTAGTATGCGATGAATTGCAGACATCAAAAATATGTTTCTGACTAGATTCTGCCAGGATGGGGATAAAGGATAGGTTTGTTGCATGCCTTCTTCATGATGGATTTAGGGATTGGTGGTTTGAGGTGGTCCAGTTTCTGGGAGCGGTGTCCATCGAAGATTGGACCTAAATGGATTTAGTCACTCTGTTCAGAGTAAAGATTATACCTACTATTGAAATACAACAATTGGGTTGGGACCTCCATGTTCTCAAGCACATGATGGAGACTGTAGCGGAGATCACCGCCAAGTTCATAAAGATGACATTCCTTGTTCCAAAATATACTTGTCACACCCTTGGCCGACAGTAGAAACGTCGAGCTGAGCGAGGTTTAAGGATGTTTGAGCTAAACACAAGTATATTTAATACTACACGAAAATAAAACTCAACTGCTTCTTTTATTCGTTATTGATAAAAAGGGGTTACATCGTTTAACTTCCAATTACCCACCAAACAGAAACTAAACAACAAGAAAATGAATTAAAGCTTTCATCGGCCAGTTGACGACACTCTACTTCCACTACTACTTATTTCTTGCCAATACATGGGTTTTAAATACGTCAATGAAATGTTGGTGAGTTTATAGGTTTTTAGGGGTTTTATACTTTTGAGAATAGTATTTACAACTCTTATAAAGGGTATTTATTCTTTGTATTTTGTTTTCCTAGGATAAGCTACTCTTTTTGTACTTTGTCCTATAACTTTTCCTTTATAGATTTATATTCATTTTTATTACCTTTTCGTATTTTGAATACCTCCTATGAATTCTCCTCTAGATAGTTTAATTTATTAAGGTTTGGTGGGTAATTTTACAATTAGTCTCTATAACCGAAATAGATTACTTGAAATATCCCCATCATGATGCTTCATAGACATATAAAGTTATGCATGTTGGGGTTGTAGCTAGCAGCCACAAGTGGAAGTCTCAATCCCGTATAGATCTATACATAATTTTAATGCTCACTTAAGATTAATGATTATAGGTTCGGGGTAGCCGAATAACATAAGCTATGGATGAATAATACTTTTCGTTTAACAATTACTTTGTTAAACGTTTTAACTGTGATTATTTATCTTTGTTATTGTTTCTTTAGTTTTTCCTTTAATATAATTTTCCTTACATAATTATCCATATATATAAATATATATATATATATATATATATATATATATATATATATATATATATATATTTATATATATTTATATATATGGATAATTATGTAAGGAAAATTATATTAAAGGAAAAACTAAAGAAACAATAACAAAGATAAATAATCACAGTTAAAACGTTTAACAAAGTAATTGTTAAACGAAAAGTATTATTCATCCATAGCTTATGTTATTCGGCTACCCCGAACCTATAATCATTAATCTTAATCCATAATTATCCTAATACACATAAATATTATACTATATCCATAAAATAATTATTATGTTTTTGATATTTATAAGATATTAGGGCAGAGTAACAACTAAATACCATGCTTATCCTAAATTTTTGTTAGCATAATGATTAGAAACTAGGTTATTCTAAGGAATAGGCACTAGCATAACAACTACGTATAATTTTCGAGTATATTCTTAGGCATTATAAAGACTAGGCATAATATCACATTTAAATCTTAGGTAGGGTAACAATTGGAAAGATATGATCAGATATACATACTTAACCTTTTATAAATATATATATATATATATATATATATATATATATATATATATATATATATATATATATATATATATATATATATCTTTCGTAAACAACCGTCACTAAAGACAAATGGTAGCAATAGAGTTTTTCATATTTCTGGAAGATATGATCATATATGGTATGACTTATAAATAGAAAAAGGTTAATAGGGTAAAAAAAGAATGAACAAATAGTTATACAACTATTAATAATTGTTAGTGTATTTGGAAAATACACAATAATGTGATCCCAATGATATAAACGTTGTAAAAATTTGACTCCGATTAGAAGAGTTATGATTCTATAAAAAGTAAAAATCAACTGCGTGATAAACATAATTAACGTCAAAATAGTATAAAGAAATCGGTTGAGTTTTGACTAAAGTCATTAAAAGGAAAATTGAAGTACTCCGAGAGATAAGAATTATGAAATGAAAAAGGTCAAAAACGGAGTCATTATAAAGAAGATACAATTTTTGGAAAAATATAAAATACATGTTAAAAATAAACGTTAAAATTTGACAACACAACCTTAAGGAAAGTTGTAGTACTCAAAGGTGGCTATACAAATATATAAGGAGAATAAGAAACACAATTCATATAAGCAAGATAAGATTTTTTGAAGAAAAATTTAGGGAGCACGTGAGGTGCATGTCATGCACGACGCGCATATATGACACCAGGATTCGTCGAGCTTGGAGAGACGCGGACCACCAAATGTGTGACACGTGTCAAGCTATGGATGGAGCCACGCATCATGCACAAGACAAGCACCAGGTGTCTATGTCCATATGCACTATAAATAGATGTGCTCACTTCCTGAATTCTGCACACCCAAAAATCTCTCTCTTTCTCTTTATCTATCTCAGAAATCCTCCGAATGACACGAAGCTTTGGATGAAGTAGCAAGGATGTCCTTGATCACGCCACTAGGGTGAGTTCACAACCCCATTTTACTATTCTAGAAGTTTTAAGGTGTGTGTGTGTGGGGGGGGTGGGTGGGAGGATACATGTTTATCAAACTGCTTTATCAGAATATATTATAATATATATTAGTAGTTAATCAAAGCATGAAACTTTTAGGATTATATACTCATAAATACTCTACCTAGTTGTAAACTATGATATTATGCCTAAAACTTATGATACCCGATATTTTAGGAAATTTTTTTACCTAGATGTTATGCTGGCCAATTTTCTGGGATAACATAATACCTAGAAGTAATACTAGTTAATTCTATGGATATGCATTGTACCTAGTTGTTACTCTACCTGAATATCTTGTTTTTCAAATCAATCATAAGTTGGTTATATATATGGTAAAAGAATATATATATATATATATATATATATATATATATATATATATATATATATACACACACACACACACACAGAGATACAAAAGGATAATGATGAGATATATGGATTTTAATTATCATATATAAAGTAAAGAATTATACAGTGATAATTATATATTTTATTATATAAAATAGTTAAAGAAAATATAAAACACTTAAGGTTAATGTGTTACTAAGCTTTTATTATTCATCCTTAGCCTGATTAAATTCGACTACCTCGAACCTATAATCATAATATTGCGAGAGATAGAAAGATATGTATAGATCTATACGGGTGTCACACCCCACCTGTGACTGCTAGCTACAAGTCTGACAGGATAACTTTATTTGATGTTCGATGAAGCGTCGTTTTGGGAAAATATTAGCCCACGACATTTGTTATAGGGGTTCATGGTAATACAAACCCGAACACCATAAGGAACCAGCAATCTAAAGGGATGCCTTCAAGTAGTGAGTATTATAATAGATTCGAATTGGTAAAATATCTTATAATATACTATAATAAGCTAGAATTGGTAAAGTATCCATATAAAGTATTTTAATTTAGGATTGGTAGAATATCCTAAAATTATATAATAAGTTAGGATTGGTAAAATAACCTAAAGAGAAAAGAGGAAAATATAAAAATATTAGAATTAATAGTATCCGAAAGATTTAAAAATTTCGATATAAAAGATATTTGGAAGTTAGGATATAGTAAACCTAGGCAATAAGGAATATATGAAAGATGACCATAGTCATAACAAAGATCCTAAAAGTTTTCAAAAAAGAGTTTTATAGATATTTATTTAAACATGTGGACTCAATAACATCAAGTTGACGTTTTCAAAACCACATGTATTCCTTGGATGGAGTAAGGATCAATTCAAGGAATGACAAGCATCTCGAAGGTAGATAGGTTTTATATAACCCATGTAATAGACATAAATTGTTAATAAAAAGGTATTTATAGTCTTTGCTCTATGATTTGGGTAATCTATGCATTGCCATCACCACTCAGCACTTCCACCACCTGTCGAGGATGTGACATGAATAGTATCAGAGCCGAAGGTTATAGCGAATTAGTACTTCCTAAGGAAATTATGACTATAGCGTACGACATACACTCTGATGAGGTTTTTCCTAAAACCTATAAATAGATGTATTATTATAAATTACACTACTGATAGACTACTTACGAGAAAAGGTGACTAGTTTGAAATGTCTCTTGGGTTTCTAGATTTCAAATTGGCTATATGATAAAATGATCATGCCCTACAACACTTCTCATATAGTTGATACTTATATAATAATCTAGAAGTATAAAACAATAGTAATCGCCATTCCAGAACAATTAAGTATACAAATCAAGAACGCAAACTATGTAAGTCAATTATATAGGTTGATTCAGTGTGTAAGGGTTGAATCACAACTAAACGTAGCCTGATCACTTATGTTTAGTCTTGGATGGACCAATACACCAACTGAATTTGGACTTGGTAATTGATAAAATAGAAACTATACATAAATATACAATATAAACCAGAGTAAAGAGTATAAACATAAATAAGTGTATTAAAAGATATCCCACCAAACACATAAAAACAAGTATCGAAATACAAACCAACACAACAAACCTCCCACCTACTTGTCACTACTCTCGTACTCGCTTTCTTAATCCTATGTATCCTCCTCACTATCATCATAACCACCCTGTTGTGTGCGAGAAGGACCTGCAACATCACGACAAACAACAGAACCTACCTGAAGAAAAGGTGGATGATCCATCCCCGGATGCACCATTATACTAGAAATCGACGCCATACTCCATCGATGCCCCTCCTTAAGAACATCTATACGCTGCATGAAATCATTTAAAGTCGGCTCCCTATCAATCTTCACATATCTATGTCTCTGACGCCTCACGAAGGTAGGCTTATGGATATGCTCTGGCTCCATTTGTCTAATAGGAGTCACGAAGTCATCATCAGGGATCCTCCACTGCTGGTCATTTCCTCGAACCAACAATCACATCTTCCATAGTTCATTCATAGCCAACTCCCTAATATGAATAGGAACCATCCCACTAGTATCGACCTTATATGACTGGGCCAATCGAGTGACCCAATGACCACCACAATTCCTGCTTGAGGGCAAGGTACCTAGAGCCATGCAAGTAAGTAATAAGGGGCGATACCATTGAGTGTCGGGCGTAGTGTATAGTTATAATCAAAGTCTCCTGGAGGGAGAGTGATAGTTTGTGTATAGATCTATACGGGGGTGACTCCCCTACACCTCAGTTGTTCGCTACAGTTAGACTCGACCAGTCTAGGGTGACAAAATCTTAAGATCAATTTTGGTGTTCGATAGAATGCCAAGACAGACGAACTAGTCATTATCAAGCATGGTTATAATGACTCACATAATAAATCCAATACTATCTAAGAAATTAAGGGAATTCAAAAATCATCCGTTGTGACGGTATAACAATTCAAATCGATTATATTATGTTATCGGAAAACATCGGGTTTTTCGAGGAAATCAACACCATTCACTTGTATTTTCAATAACTATTATGCAAAACTTCTCATTTATACAGGTTTTGAAATCATTCATGCGTAGACCTATGGATCTTCACACTTTAGTATAAACAATTGTCTTTTCAGAAAATATCGGATTTTCAGGGTTTTACAAACCGCACAAAACATTTTCATAACTACCCTGCTTATGAACTCACCAACATTCCATATGTTGACATTTTTCAAAATAACTTGTATTCTCAGGTAACAGGTAAGTTGAAGAGTAATACCAAGTATGTTAGGATGTCATGTCTTGAAAACTTTCAAACAATTTATGCTATGGAAATGTAATATTTAAACAATGTACTTGATGCGAACAATGTCAGTTGTAATGTATTAATTCATGGTAATGTTTATGTTATGTTTCATGTATATTCATGGTGATGATATTCAATTTAAGTCACGTAAGCCCTCAGACGTTTCCGCCGTCTGGTTTTGGGGTGTGACATGAAATGGCCTCAAGAAGGGTAAAGTTTCTGACTTTACCCCCAAGAACCACCAAAATGGGTTCAAAACCGAAACCCTAAACTTAAACGGGTAAGGACTTAACCATTTAGCACTTATTACACAAGGACACAACTCCGAGTTATAGATCTGACCATATGAGGCTAGATGGCTTTGTAAAGTTTCCAATTTTACATTTATTCATGATTAAAAGAAGCTCAAAAGCTTAAAAGAGACCAAAAGAAGGACTTAATAAAACATCCCAAAAATCATGACCAAAAATTTCATTTTTAATTATTAAATAAAACCATACTTATCGAAATCATCTCATCAAACCATAACTAATAGTATCTCATATCAAAACATATGTCAAATATATCAGAGTAAACATCCCAGGATAAAACATCATGGTGTGTGCAATGCAGTCATCACGAGCTCTTCCCTTTGCTACCAGAAGTAGCTGAAACCAAATGCCACACCCCGCTAAAGCAGAAACGCAAGATATGACAACGATAAAGGTTTCATTGCAAAAGATAAATATACATCACCATAGTAGTAGTTAAAAGTTTACAACCCATAATTCAAACAAAACAAAATACAAGTTTTCCAAATTGACATTGTTCAAAAGATAACTTCATAAAATAACTTCCACACGATGCAACATGCTCTATGATGATGAATCTTTATACCCACTTACTAATTATTTCTTGAAAAAGCATGTAAAATGAGGGTCAACTATGAAAATAGTTGTTGAGTTCACAAATTTACAAAATCAAGATTTGGTATATAACTTTCCACAAATACAAGTACATTACTATAATGAGAAACAAAGTTGATTGCTATAATTAAATAAGAAAGTTATATATATAAGAATAAACAATGAGTTCACAACCAAGCCTATAACTGATGCCCTATCAAGATTTATGCTTATTGTTCCATGTATGAATATGGTATCATGAACTCAAGCAATCGGCGAGTGAGGAGTTGTCAATTCCTAATAGCGGTATCCATAATACATTAGCTTAAAGAGTTAATGGTTGGAGTAAAGTATAGGAATGGAGTTTAGATGATAAGGCCTCATGTTTCGTGTTGTATAGACATACATAGCAAAATATAGCAATCAAGTTTGATACAAATACATTTAAATACAACGAACAATAAACAGTTTTTCGGACATGCTATTCCTCCCCAAAACATAAAAATTGAAAATAGGGGGAATGTATGGATAATCACAATGTTTGAATTAGCAACAAGTGGTGCCTCGAAATACACTAATGACTTTACTCCCAGGATCCTACGACATCAAACACATGCTGGTGAATTTCTATGTTGAAATCTAAGGCAAATATACTAAATTCTAAATATAGAGAAATACCAAATTTTTGTTCGAATATTGGTTTTATATTAAATGGGTAACAATTTTTCTGAAATGCTGATATTTTATAACTCATGTGATTAAGATAATTCTGGATATTATTTTCTAGGTTTTTGTAATATTAATTGAGGGTATTTCAACACATTTAAATGTGTTGTAAACTCCTTAAAATCCAAAAATATTATCAAACAGTTTCCAAAATTCATTAAATTTTACATTTTCGTTTCAAATACAGTAGAAGTCTTCCAAAAAAGTTTTCCCTTGAATTTTTGATGTGATTAACTATTTTTACAAAATTTTAAGCCTTCATAACAATATAAATTTGTGAAAAATAGCATCCAAAGTCCCAAACTTTTTATAATATTGTCATTAAACATAGTTAATCTGAGAAAAATATAAAAAATGGGTTTCTAAATAGTTTAACCTAATTTTATGATTTTTGTGCATTTATTCTAACAAAAACAGAAATAAATAGAAAATAGTTTTTAAAATTTCCCAAACTTTTTGTAACACTGTTCTTATACGTATACAAGCTGTGAAAAATATAAAAGATATTTTTCAATCAGTCTTGTTATTTTACTTTGTTTTATTCTCTTGAATAATCATTAATTGGTGAATAATAATAATCAAAAAGTTAAAGGAAATTACCAAAAAAAAAATTAACTTCATATACAGTGTACATAATTCGGGAAAAATATCAATGATGATTTTTATATATTGTAATATGATTTTGTGGATTTAAGTGTGTTTAATATTAGAAAATAGAAGAAAAATAGCATACTAAATAGAAATATCATCCAAATTTTTATTTATAATTCTAATATAATATATTATAAGGTCTTCTAGTAATTTTCATGAATTTTGAATGAGTAGAACTATTTTCCCATTATTAGTCCATTATAAATACAAAAATTTGGGAAAAATAAGTATTCATTATGAAATTTTTTGAAAATATGTTTATGAGTATTCCACATGAGTTAAGATCTGTGAAAATTATTAGATAGTCTTTTCATATTCCCTAAAGTGGTTTTATGATTTATTTGAATTAAACAAAAAGAAAATTCAAAACCATACCAAACAGTAACCAAAATCGATGAAATTTATTGAGATGTTATCATTTAATTTAGCAGTCATCCACGAATTCACCTAGGATTTATAGACCTCAGAAAGTATTTTAAATGATTTATGGCCTTGTTTTCTTGTAACAATTTTAATAAATTAAAGAAATCATAAAAACTCTTGGGATTTTCCAGATCCTCATATCATCTTACTGGGAATCTAAGGAAATTTTATTTCGAATAAAAGAGGATAACTAGATTTTTTTATGAATAAAATCATTTACATGCACTATTAACAATGTACTTTGATCATCAAGGTCTTTAACTTGATGTTCATTACATGCATCACTATTTGAGGACCATGCATGGACATATTTTGTTCATAGTGATGTTTTCAAAGGAAAAATTCGAATGCATAAGGTAGATGAATCTTCAAAACTTGTAAAAAATCGTATTTTAAGGTTTGACATAGGTTTTGGTCATTGGATTTCACCTTCAAAAAAAATCATGTTGTTCTTAAGTGAAACTCTACCACCATCATCATCAAACTCGAAATTCATGGATATGTTCATGAATGTTCATAAAGATTGGTGTAGAAGAAGGAGAAGTACAAGAAAAACCTTTAAAACAAGAAAGAAAGTGAAGGAATATGAAGGATTTTCGTGATTACCTTGAAGAAAAACCCTAGAATATGAAGATTTGAAGGTTGAGAGATCTTCTTGGCTGGAAAATTTCCGTGGTTTTGAGAGAGAAAGAGAGAGTTTGAGTGTGGTAAAGAGTAGAGTGAGAGAGAGAGAGAGAGAGTGTGTGTGTGTCTCTGTGTGTCTGTGTGTGTGAGAGAGAGAGAGAGAGAGAGAGAGAGTGAAGGGAATTTGGAGTGTAAGAGGAGATAAAATGATTGAAAGACTTGTGGAAGAAGGAGCATGGGATGTGGTGGATGATTTTTTTTTTATTTTTTTTTAAGTATGAGAGGGGTCTTTTCTCTCATAATTAAATTTTTATATAATTTCTCTTTAATTTTTATAAAAACCTAATTTTTATAAAAAGTCTTCTTTATTTAATTCTTAACTTATCAAAAATCTTTGTTTTTAGCTCATAAAATATGATGTGTGTTTGATAATTAAATTTTTATGTGTTTGATTATTTCCCATAAATTGGTTATTTAAATTTTATATAATAAGGCTTATAACAAATCTTATAGAGTTTTTTAGGTTTTAAAGTTTATAAATTTGGATTTTTGGGCTCTTTAGGGTTTTTGGAACTTTGTTATATATTTACCATCATGTTGAAATGAAATTAGAAGATTTTAATTTTTTTTAAGGATTTTATACCCTTTTTTTACTGTAACAATTGTTTAGAGTTTGTTCTAATTCGGGTATTGGCATGCACTACAGTAGCTAGACAACTAAATAGAATCGTAAGAGTCAAGTATATTACTCATAGATTTTAGTTGGATACTAGTTTATACAAGACTGTGACCTAATTTCTATTACTAGGTCATAGCATGATGTGCATATATGGTTTTTAAAAAGTTGAATGAGTTTGAGAATGGCCTGAATTTGACACTTGTCACAACGGTTAACCAAGTCAATGGTCACCACGACTTGGAGACCACTTAACCATATCGTGGGCATTACAGGACAAAACAGTCGCAATGTAGAGCTCCACAATGTTATGGGCCTTTCTTTGTCATGTCGTGGTTACTACTAGTAAGCC